TCCACTGGGGTACCTTTAATTTGAGCAACGAGGTAGGGCCTACATATAGCATTGTGTGATCATACGTGATTTTATATAAGGTGCCGTTTCATCCTTTATGACTTTATATTCGATTATGAATGTATCCAATTAATTTGAGCAACGCGGTGCATATAGCAATGTGTTATTCTACGTGATTTTACTGCCGTGCTGTCTCTTCTTTCCGGCTTTATATCCGATTATAAATTCTGATCGCCAACAGCGACAGGAGTACGTTAAATTATTAAAACAGCAGTAAATTATTGAAATTATGACGACGACGATGATGATGATGATGATGCAAGGACATCACAGAACATTACGTGAAGTTTTGCCATCACATAACTGCACCTTCACCGACACCATTTCTGACACAGTTAAAATGACTCAAATTAAATGAATAACAGTTACATGAATAACAGTTAAACGACTTAAGTTAAATGAGTTAAATGAGTTGAGTGAGATGACGGAATCGATCGCTTACCTGACTGCCTTGTGTTTTTTGTCCTTCAGGATTACGACCAGCCGGTGAAGGACTTGCACGAGGCTCGCGCTAAGATACTGGCCGACGCGACGTCGTTCATCGAGTTGAAACACGGAGAGACGAAAACTTTCCCGTCCGAAGCATCGGGAAGGAATCTCCTCGCTGCGCATAAGCCGACAGAAGACAAACAGATACCCCGACGAATGGCGTCCCCTCTCTGAAGTGTTAACGAGCGAATCGTTAGCGTCCCCTCGCTGAAAAGTTAGTTCGTTAACGAGCGAATCGACTATTCTGCTCTGTGAAGCCTTAACGAGCGAATCGTCTATTCCGCTCTGTGAGGCCTTAACGAGCGAATCGTCTATTCCGCTCTGTGAGGCCTTAACGAGCGACTTGTCTATTCCGCTCTGTGAAGCCTTAACGAGCGAATCCCGTCCCCTCTCTGAAGCGATAATTATATATAACGAGCGAATCGTCTTGTCACGCGGTCAACTTAAGCTGGGTCTACACTGCCGACTTTGTATTGGCGAATTGGCGAGTTGGAATAACTTCCCAATTCGGCAACTCCGAGTTGGCGAAAAAAGAACATGTTCTAATCTCCCAACTAGTTGCTATCGATCGGTTTGTCGCACAATTTTGCGTTTACACTGCCGATTATCGGAGTACTCCTTGCCTTGACGTTTTCAGAAATCCACGCTGTGTTGATAAGCCACAATCATTATGATCATTTGGATTACAAAAGCGTAACTGATTTGAATAGACGATTCCCGGAAGCCTGGTTCGTATATATACATTGAAAAGCAAACGTCACATGCAGAGCTAAAATCCGTAACTTTTCGGCTTCCAACCTTTCCCACGCATTGTGATCCGTGTTCAACACGATTGTTTCCTGTATAAATTCACAAAAAACACACACGCTGATAGAGATTCTGTCTCGCCTATTAGTGGACATATACTGACTACTCCGGCGCAAAAATTACTATGAATTTGTGATGTTTTACTTATAGGCTATAATGTAATGGGAAAAGGAATAAGGGATCTATCCGTATTCGCTAACTTTCCTTTAGGCACATTTCTTCTCACGCACTGGTTATTGATCATCGATGGTGAAAGATCGTTAAATTAATTAAATTAAAATTAATAAAGGTCATTTTTCTCATAGGTGGTTTGTACCTAAAGGATTGGATGGCTGGTTTAAAGAATGTGGTTGCAAAAACACCAAGGAGATGACCTGGTGGCAAGAAGAGGAACTACCGACGCATTCAAATATCAAGATGGTTTTCACGCCTGCGCAACACTGGTGCCAACGTTACTTAAAAGATGTTAATCAGGTAATTAATTAATTAATCTCTTTTATTTTATTTTTTATTTCATAATGAGCTTGACACAAATGCATCGAAAGTGGCATGCAACTCTAAAAACCATGTGTATTGGCCTTTATGAAGAAAAGCGAGTGGATGCAAGTATTTTATGTCAGCATGAGTCTGCGCGAATTCCGAAAACTTGTGATAAACGTACCAAAAGATCCTAAAAATTATTAAATATAATTCAACTTTTGTGTTAAAATCATACTCTGCATTAAGATCATATTCTTTGTCATGTGTACATGAGATATAGTATGCAATAATTTATCATTGCAGTGGTTATTGTTTATGGATCCTGCTATATTTTAGTTTTGAACTTTTATTTTGGACTCCTTCAGTTTGGCAGAGAATAAGCTATGACTGTGTTCATGCATCAATCGTGTATGTTTCTTGGATGTTGCGTGACTAAAAAACAACAAGATTCTCAGCGATAGTAACCAGCCTAAGCAGAAGGTTATCCCTTGATCAAAGTTCAAATTTCTAGCCCATAAAGATGTTAGGATTATATGGTGAAGATGTTAGTGTCATCCTCTCGGTTTTTAGCTCAGCTGACGAAGTCAGATGCAGCTTGTAGAATTGCATGAATGTCCGTCCGTGCGTGCGTGCGTGCGTGCGTGNCAATGTATTTTTATTCTCGAAACATTTCAATTCCATTGATTTATTGATTGTCGTGGGCTTTTCGTGACGCATAGGCAGGCAACGCGACGGATAGTAAGACACGGAAACCTGCACCGAACAAAACTGGAAGCACCTACAGTTGTCCGTGGACAACCTGGGTATCTCCGAATCCCTTCGGAACAGCATCATGGACGTCGCCGATAAACGTGAAAAGCTTGACTGACATGTGTAGGTGGTTGTTGGAGAAAAGGCCTAAAATACCTGGAACACGGGTAAGATTCTTACTGCATGTGTGAAAAAGCACTTCGTTAGAGTCGTGCTATCAGTCAACTTCATTACTCTGTATTCTGAGTGTGTCCAGCCGCAGGCCATAACAGGGGTAGAAATTAACTTTTGAACAAGGGAGTCCAACCTGCTTTCCTCCCCTGCCTTCAAAAAGAGGGAGTCCGCCGCAGAATGAGGGAGTTCGCAGTCTTAAGTTCAAAATTAAAGATAATAATGCATGTGCTTATTTTAAAGATTCATGCGATTGTACGTCTGCCAAATTATGGCAGAATTTTCAGGGCGTCACACTGACTCCTCAATATGTCATGTCAGGGAGTCCAACAGTAAATCAGGGAATATTTGACTCCGGACTCGCATTAATTTCACACCCTGCCATAACCCTAACTTTATCCCTAACATCTACCTCTAACCACCACCTTAACCTAAACCATAACCGTAACACTAAGCCTAGCCTTAAGACTCGCTTTAAACCAAAACATAACTTTAAGACTAACCCTAAACATAACCCTATAACCTTAACCCCAACGGTCACCCTAACCCTAAATCTAACACTAACCCAAACACTACCCCTGACCATAACCCTAACTCTAACCCTAACACCCAACCTAACCCTAAACCTAACACTATAACTCTCACCTTAACCCTAAACCTAACTATAACTGTAACCCTAACCCTGACCCTAACCCTAACCTCAACCCTAACCTTAACACTAACCCCAAATTTGTGAGAAAAAACTGAAATAAACAAGAAAACCGGAAAAAATG